AGAGATTTTTTGATTCTTTAATCTTGTTTTTTATGGAACTGACCGAATGAAAATTTTTTTTGGGTTCTTTCTTGTTCAATGAAACCCAAACTTTCAATAAACACAAGAAATTTGAAATAAGCACGAAATTACCATTTTTTTTAACCTAATATATGTATTCTAACTAAATTAAATACAAATTTTTGTGTACTGTTTACGAATCGTCTATATAAAAATTTTAAATTATTTTCCAGAAGTTCACTTCGAATTAAGCTTTTTTCATTGAACTAAATGCAAATTTTTGCGAACTAATTATAAATTGATTTCATGTAAATTTCTGAGTAATCTCGGATTTGTCTTTTCGTCCAGACTGATTGCGAACTAATCCGGAATTTTTAAGAGAGTGCTTATAAAGACACAGAATTTGGTGGCAAAATTACGAGGTTCATTTTTAATGCATTTTAAGTTGAATAGCTTAAATTACTCAAAGTAAAATCATATTTTTTTGTGATAAATGTACTAAAATATTTTTCACCTTTTATTTTGGCCTAACCAATGAAAAGGCCTCAACTTTTGTTATCAGAATAATACGAGCCTCTAGAGGGTTCTTGTATGTATTATCGTGGCCACTCCAAAGGAAATGAGGAGCCTCGAAAGCTCCTTGTAAAATTCTTCATTAAAGAGCTCTCACACCCATAGGTTAGAGGATTTCTGATCCTTATTCCTTTCTACAATTTCCTTCTTGTGACAAGAAGGAAATGAGACATTGTCAGTATCTATGTCAGGGTTTTATAATTAAAGGATATTCTTCCTTTCTAAAAAGAAATTTACCATTTTCTCATTAGATTTTTATTCATAAAAATGATGTCTATATGCTTGTAAACGACTGAATGTAATGATCAAGATATGTTGAAACTTCTTTCATTAAAGGAATAATATATTGATAAATTAATTTTTTATTTAATGATTTTTTTGTTTTGACAATAATATATAATTACGTAAATTTTGACAAAAAAATATTTTAGGATATTTTTTTCCCGATGTAGTGAATAAGAAAATTAAATTTTGTATTAGTGAATAGACTTTAAATGCGCAATTTGTGAACATATAGAATTTCAACATATTTTTTGCAAGATGGAGAAAAGAAAATTTTAAATTGAGAAATGTCTTTTTCTATGTGTGCAGATTCTCTCCTCTCATCGTTGATTCGTCCCAACAAGATGAAGTGTTCTCGATTGGATCGACGTATCGTGTCGTGCAGTGAAAACTCTTTTTCGTATTTCATCCTCAACTAACTCGGCTCACGTCTTTTCAAGCTTTTGTCGCTTCTACTTCCAGTGTGTGTATATATGTACTTTCAGTACGTCGTTCGAATTGGAGCGCGACTACATTTTTTTTTCCTTTTATTCTTCTTCTTTCACCGCTCTTTTTCTACACACATATGCAACAAATAAGAACTGTCACTTCTTTTAATCGATGCATCACATCTTGAAAAATTTTATTTTCGGAAGAAGGAAGCTTTTTACATTTATTTGTACAGAGTGTGTTTACTTAAAACTATTTTTGTGTCAGAAATATATATATTTTTGAGAATTTATAAATAACTTCTGAAATGAAAAATAAATTTTGTTCTGTTTTTATTATTTTTGTGGTTTCTTAAATTTCATAAATGTCAATTTTGATTTCTGTCAAAACAGAAAACTTAAAAAAGCAGAATCTTTGAATTTGTTTTACCTTTAACAATATATATATCTATATGTTTGGTGCATACTGTGTATACGGAGACTGAAGGTAATTTTAGGAATGAAGGAAACACGTGTCAACACTTGGGGCTGAAAGGAAGTTTTCCGCGGCAATCGATCCTGGTGGTGGTATACTTGAGAAGGGTAGCTAGGAGGGTTCGCTGGCAATTACTACCCCCTTTCTGGTGATTCTCCTCCATCCTTTCCTGATGCCATCCAGAGCACATGGCAGCAAGTTTCGTCTCGTGATTTACAACAATGGTCGCACAAACTCGATTATAATGATTCAGAAGCATATTGCACCGAATTACCCACTATATACAACTTTCAGTTCTTTCATTAAACGATAATGATCTGACGAGTTTTCTCACTTGAATCACTTTTCTGGAAATAACACTTCTTTAACACTAATTTAATTAACAATCTATATATTTATTTTCAAAAAAAAACTTGCTTGATTTTGAGAAAACGAAAGAATAAAATAATATACTATATTTGTTTTGGTTTAAGAGCTATCTAGTTTAGAATTCAATCTAGTTTTTGAATATTTTTACTTTTTAAATAAAATTTTGTTTTTTTGCAGCGAAGTAGCGTGGCAAGGTTCAACGAACCCAGTTGTACCGCTCAGAATGTTAAGTTGTTTAAATTAAAGCAAATGATTTTACAAATATACAATAGTAAAATTATTATTATTAAAATTTTTAATATATGAATAGTTTTTCGAACAATCTTAAGATTTCTATATTTTAGTACCGCTTTTAGTATAGGTGTAAATAAACGCGTTATCTGACTCGAATTCCATAATTACATATATAATTAGTCAGTCTCTTAAAAAACTTTTCGTATATTAAAAAACTAAACTATTTGTATATTATTGTTCATTAACAGTAAAAATATAAGACTCTGTCTAATTAATAAATGTATAAGTTAAACAAATGGAAAATAATAAATAGAAATATAAAAATAAAAGAAAAACAAAGAAAATAGGTTATAATTTGCTTCGCACGTGAGGTTATAAGTTATGCAGCGACTGACTGCGGCACAATCAGCCCCAATAAAAAGGCACGTGTAACCCCGTTGCGCAAGCATTCACTTTTTAACAAATATTAAAAAACCAGCTAGATAAAACGTTAAGTTTAATATACTACTTAATTTTTAAATTAATTTGGATAATTCTGCGTAATAGACATAATTAAAAAGTCTGCCATTGATATGGCATTTCCATACCTGGTTAAAATTTTGGACTGATTTCAGATTAAATACAGACAGATAATGTCCGGATTAGTCCAGAAATTGTACGAAAACAATTCGAAAATGATCTGTATTAGTCAGGAATCAGTCTGGATTAAAAGATAAATCCGAGATCAATCCGAAATAGTCCGAAATTGACATGAAATAAATCCGTAATTAGGCCACAACAATTTGATTTTAGTTTGATCAAGAAACAATCCAAAATGAGTCCAGAATAATCCAGAATTTGTATGTAAACTATCCGCAAACAGTATGCAACAATCCGGATTAGGTACTGTCAAAAAACTGTATCCGACAATAGTCAGTAATAATTTGAAATCTTTATGTGAAAAATACGGTATTATTCCATGATAATCCTGATTTAATCTGGTAAAAAATCCTAATCAGAAATGAATCTGGAAAAATTCGAAATTAAAATGTACAAAATCAGCAGTCGCAGTCTGAACAAAAATCTTAATCAGAAAGGAGTCCGAATTTGTCGTCAATCTGTGTGTAATGAATTCGGATTTAGTTAGGTCTAAAATCTTATTTGAAAATCTGTATGTAAAAAATCTGGTATTAGTGCATAAGAATGATGATTTTGTACATATAAATTCCGTTTAAAAATCTGAATCCGAAATAAGTCTGGTATAATCTGACATTCTGTATGTATTAAATCGGCAATTAGTCCACAAAAATCTGGATTTAGTTAAGTTTTGCTGCTTTTATTACAGTTCCTACTCATGCCGACAGGTGCAGTTCTGTCTTAGTTGAGATGAGTTTCCAGTTATTATAATCCGGAATTAATGGGATCAGACACAACTAATAAATGCAAAATTACTTCTATTGAATCTGATATTAATCCGGCATGTGTAATCAGTAAGTCTAGAATCTGCATTTACTAAATTCGTTTGATCGAACAGACTTCGTATTAGACTTGATTAATTCCGGATTTACTAGTTACACAAATCGGGCAAATTTCGGATTTGGCCGGACTAATTCCGGATGACAACAACCTGACAATAAACCGGACTATTTCGGACCAGACAGTTAGTTATTATGTTTCCTTTGGTCCACTTAACTCCTTGACAATACTTGATTCTTATGTGAAAAAGACGTTTGCTACAAATGGCATCTTAAATTTTACCAGCATTTTAGAAAAGAAATATTAACTTAATTTGATTTAAGTATCAATGGGTATTCAAAAGTTTTTGGAGATTCTGAATCCGTATTTAATATCAGATTTAAAATTATTCAAAATGGAAGGGAGAGAAAAGTTTACTAAAAAGCTGAATCCAAATTTGATATCATATTTAAAAACATTGAAGTGTCTGTTCCAATTTGATATCTTGAAATTCTAAAACTAAATTTATTTTAAGCGACCCTAAAAATTCCAAAATAACAAGTTTCTAATGAATCCCGTCACGTTTAAGAAATTCTCCTGAAAAGCTATATACAAGAACTCTTTTATGCAAATGAAATTGATGGAAAATTTCAACATTTATATTCGAATTTAAATAGTTGACGATTTTGTAGCATATGTATTTGCAGCTATTAATTTGATTGCAAATGTATTTTATAAATTATATATAGCTTCCTAGTGACTAAATTGTTTTATTTAACGGTGAATCTTTATAGTGATTCGCTAGAGCTGACAGTTGGCAACAATGCTAATTGCTTTGCAACAACGATATTCATTGGAATATAGGGTGTTTCTAAGTACATCGGGGAAAACTTCCCTTCCAAAAGTTTAAATCGGCTTCAGCGACTCGAGAAGAGATCCCTTTGCATCCTTAATCAGATTGCCAAGCTTGAGAAAACCCCTTACTCCATTAAAGAAAGATCTCGACGTATCGTCCATTAAAACGTACCCAAGACACTTCCTTGTCGCCAGAAATACAATCTTCAAATAATGAAATCGAAATTATTCAAAATAAAGTTTAATAATGTAAATCTATTTTATATATATTTTGCTTTATAAATAATAACTAAAACTAATAATAATGACTAAAATAACAACTAACATTTTAATAAAAATTTTTGTTACAGAATGGAAGAATCATCAAGAGGGCTATTGCAACACAAGCAAAAAGCAGAGCAGCTGAAACAAGAGAAAACAGGTCTCACACTTTCTTATGAGGTAAAAATTAATTTTCAATAACGAAAAGAATTATAGTCTATATAAACTTAAGGAAGATAAAAATTTATTTCCATTAAAAAATGAGAAATAATTTAAAAAACTATATTCATTTAAACGAGAGAAATAAATAATATTGTGAAAATTTATGTTTCAAGAAAAATTAAATTAAAACGCGATATCAAGATTTAACGATTTCTATAATCCAGAAATGTTTTTCTTTTATTTATTAAAATTGCGTGATATATAAAAAGTTAATATATAACGGTATTATAGACCTTTTTTTATTTTTTCGAGAGAATTAATTTAATAATCTTTTCAAATGCAAGGTGACGACATTAAGTGTAGGTAGTTCATGACCCCACTAGATTATCGAATCCTTAAGTAAATTTTTTATGCTGGAAGCCAAATATGCCGAGACACGCAAAAAGGTTTCTTCTTGATCCGATAAGCTTCTTATTACTTGTAACTTGACTTATTCATGACTTACAGTTTGATTATTATTATTATGGAAATTATTATAATAATGATATAATCAAAATAAAGATTAATATATCAGTATTTAATATTAGTTAGGGACGTTTATTCTCTTAAAAGTAAATCAAAGTGAATTACATAATTTGATTATCCAATCAGCAAGTAAACTTGCAGGAAGCTTGCCGTGCAAGTTAATCAAGATTGCATTGCAAACATGCAACAAGCTTGTTGTAAATAACAAAACGTTCTCTTACGGAATTCGAAAAATCTTCATATTTTTATTAAAAAAATAACATTTCTGTTGATATTTTAAGAAAGGCAGCAGCTAAAATTTTTTAGAAAATTTTATGTACTTGAAGATATACCACGATTATTTTGGGTCACCATTTTGATGAAACTTAAAATTGATTAGAAGAAATGTTGGTTATCTATAAAAGGCAATAGTTGAATTCTGCTTGAAACATATTAAAGTTAAAATTTATCCGCAAGTTGGATATTTGCAGAAAAAGCCCAATTAGCTAGGATATTGTTATAAACGGATTTTGTTTTAAATGCATTTTGATTTTGTGAACAAGTACAATTCCAACGCCATTTACAAATTTTACATTGATTTTTGTTAAACTGTCTAAATTTGAGTATGTCTAATTTGGGCGTCTGTGCGAGGTGATTAGAACTAAATATTTCAATTACTCCGAAAATTCATGCAGTCTTCATCATAAGCCTGAATTCTGTAAAAAAGCTCAAAGCGATCTCGGACTTTACCGTGAACAAGTGATTGAGTCAGTACATTCTGACTTCAACTTGGATAAAATATAAAGTTTCCAAAGATCACTCCGATTACCCAAAACGACTATACTTCAAGCTATTTGTGAATATAATAGTCTTCACACGTTGTAAATTTTATAAATTATTTATTTTATGATTGTTATAAATGTAATTTCATTGAATTTTTTAAATGTTAAACATCCAATTATTAAAAGAATTGTATTTTTCAAAGCCTGGTAACTTTTATGCTACCAGAGAAAATTTAATTTTATCTATCTGAAATTGTTCGAAAATATTTCCCTTTAAATATATTATATTTTTTATACTTAGGGCATTAAAGAAAAAAATTATTAAAAAAGCTCACCGTGTTGAATGATTTTATCAAAATCTAAATCTTTTATTAATTTAATTGAAAATAATTTTCTCAATTTTTTATGTCCCGGTTTTTATGTTAAGATAACAAAAGAATCACTTACATAGGATTACTATGCACTAGATATTTTCTCCATAGAGTTACAGTAGATATTTCGGATTATTGAAATGCGAGGTTCTGGATTTAGTATTTTTCCGGCAGTCTTCGCCGTGGCGCACCCGATCAAGTGGACAGAGCCGTGGTGCCCCGGCAAGTGAAATATTGAATACCCGCACTCATGCGTACAGTGAAAGTCTGCAGTAATGGGATTGCATCCCAGTAAACCAACTGTTAGTATGACGTGAAGATCCCAAAAAAGCTGTATTGATAAAAGACGAGGAATGTGTATCAGCTTGCAATTGTTTTTTCTTAGAGTTATTCGATATCAACCTCAACTTAAGAGCTCTGTTGCGATAGTCTTCCTATTATATATAGGTACTCTGCCAGAGGCAGGTATGACCTAAAATACGTACTCGTTCGCTCGTGGATATTAATGATGACAGTGATTGAAAGCTCGCATGCTGAGCTAGAATCATTTTATATGTTTCGCCTTGCAAGTTGCGATATTAACTCGGGTAGCGGCCTTCACAGCCGTTAGGGATTAGAAAGGTCCTGATCTTTACCGAGATCTACAAGGAGCAATATGTTCATTCTTATAGGATCGACAGATGAGTTACCATCAGTTCATCGACCCTGATCGATACGACCCCGTTAAACCTCTAGGCAGGTCTCGTAGTTTTACACTTGTACAGGAAGATGCTGCACTATAAATTACTATAGGCGATTCCGTGATTTTCCGGAAAATTTCTCTTAACTCTTTTGATGACAAAATTTTCTAAACCTAGCAATTTTAGCAACCAGTACTAATTACATTTTACTCAAATGAGAAAACATAGAAAAAAATTAATTTTCTTTACTAATCCCTTTATAGAATCGTTACTCTCTGATTTTATATGCAAGATAATTTTATATATGTTTATCGATGTGCAAGAAGTGAAATTAATAGGCATGTTTTGTCAAACAGTGTAATGCATTATTAGTCAAAAAGAGAATTGAGGTAAAAGCTGACGTTTCCTCTTTACGCACAGGATAATAAATAGAGGCGCGCTATCTCTTTCACGGGCGGTTTGACTCTAAAAGTGTCGTATATTTAGGGAGCGCTATCAGTGTCCCACGATATCCCGTTCATTATCGATCTTCCCTTAGGCCCACCCTTCTCCCTAACCTCCCCCTCCTCAGGCCACCATTTCAACCCTCAATACCAGTTATGACACCAGAATGGTCTCTATCACAAGAACACAAAGAAATTGTCTGAAAAATAGAACTCTTATTCTTATAAATTAACATTTCTAACTAAAATCTATTATATTTCTAAAAAAAAGTTTATCATCTCTCACATGATATCAATTAAGGTTTAGGGTAAAAAATAAAGTTATAAGAAACTAAAACGTGTTGTAAATAAAGCTTTTAGATATTTGTTTTGGGACGTGCAGTATTTTAAAAATTAATAGCAATCTTTAACACACAGATGACAAAAAATTCCCTTAACATTTTCTAAAGTTGATGTGCAATATTCGAAATATTTATGAATATTTTTTTTCATCTATGAAGCTCAGAAAAATTGAGGTATTTAACTTTCGCTTGTTCTTCTCAGTGACAGATTACCCTTATCAGTTTGGGCTTCATTTCTACTTGCGCAATCAATACAATTCTGTAATACTTTAAATTACCTAGATTTAATGGTAGGTGTGACTGTTGAAAAGAAATATGCAAAATAATTTCTTTTACCAGAATTTTTTAAGCAAGCATCTAGAGAGAATGTATAACTTTTGATGAAATTCAAATAAAATAAGGTTTCTTTTTATGGTAATTCTGTCCTTTAATTAATTCAAACAATTATACGTGGCAATATCTAGACTAGACCGTAAATTTAATTGGAATTACTTGTCTACCCTGTGTGTAATGTCATCGACTGCCGATTCAGCATTGCATAGTCTTGTCAATATCACCATCCATTTTCAGATTTAACAGCATGTGATTGTTAGGTTCACAATGTTAATTTTGTCTGGAACTTTACTTTTAACGTCACATTTTGTAAAAAAATTTTTTAAGTATACCATATTATAATAATTCAACAAAATATCACAATTTTCTCTTTTTCTCTTAATGTATTAATGTTGTAAATACCAAACTTTCTTATTTAATTATAAACATATAGTGCACATTATTAATATTTAATTTACGTGAAAATTTATCAATTGGAAGTTTAATGTTTCGTCCATTTCAATGTTAATTTTTTTACAAACTAATTATTATTTAGTATAAATGCAGAAATCAGAAAGGAAAGTGTTTTCACGATGGGGTACTAAAGTCTTGTTATAAATCAGACACAAACTCTGTCTATTAGTAACCCTGTCTCCGACAGTTCTCTACGCAATTCAACCCTAATTTAACGCTAAACGTTTTCTTGCTGATATCGCGAATACGTTATTAACTTTTTTATGAATTACACAAAACTGGCGCAAATACATAAGGTATGAGTCAGGAACAGATGTCGACATTTATTTTTTAAAAATTCTTTATGACACGTGGGGGAATACAAAAAATAATTATAATCCATAAAATAAAATTTTTAAATACTTTTTAATCCATTAATGTTTAAGTTCCAAAAAATTTAAAGTTTCTAATTATCGTCTATTTTATATTTTAAATTGGTAGAATTTACTAATTCAATAATGACAACTAACGATCCGATCTTAATTAAACACCTTTTCACATTTAACTGAAAACTTTCATCATCAATTGATCAATTTGCATTCGGGAAAACTGCCAAAGAATTTTATGTTTAATTCCTTCGAAATTACAAACTCTGATTCAAAAAAGGTTTTTTAAACGTTCTAATTAGCACAAAACTTGTGGAAATAGCTTTTCAATTTGAATAATAATGATAGCATTTTTGTTAAAAATAAATTTCACAAATAATATTGATTTTAATAGTATTAATTAATAAAATACAAATAAAGATTTGGCGAAATATATTTGATTTATTATAATTACTCTCGGTCTGAAAATTGTTATTTCCTAATTAATTTAACTACACATTAAAGTACTATGAAATTGACAGACACGAGTTCATCAGTACCAGTCCCAAATCTCGAAGCTACAGTTGGAAAACGATTCGATGCGAGAACAATTACAAAGTCTAGAAACAACATGTACAGATGAGGTGCACGCAAAACTGCTCGCCAGGTTGGTTTTCTTAGAGACTGAACATAGGACACTAGCGCGAGACGCCGATGCACAACGTCGACAATACGAGAGATGTCTTGATGATGTTGCGAACCAGGTGGTTCGTGCCCTTTTATCTCAAAAGGTTATTTCAATTTCATTCTACAATTTTTCATCTCGTCATTTTGAAAAAAAATGTTCGTTTCATTTAAAAATATTTACATACAATTATTTTGAAATTAATTGAATCTTTTTTTTCAATAGGGATTAAGAGAAGAAATTGGAGCCTTACAGAGGCGCATACGAGAACTGGAGGCCCAAAATCGAGCTCTGTCTGGCATTTTGGCACAAGCGGCAAGTCCTGGAACGCCAACTGAACTGATCCAAAGTCTTCTAGAAGCTGGTCCTACTGCTTTGGTGGCAGCACTAGGACTAGATTCATCTTGGGTACCTCTCACGAGACCAAGATCCTTAAACCTACAAATACCTGTGATGGCTACTGCCAAATGTCGACGAAACAGACCACTAGGTATGTAATCTAAAAGAATATCTCCTGTTTATTTTAATGAACTTATTTTATAATTAATTAAATTTTAGGTCAGAAACCTTCAGAGGAGGAAGGTAGTGAAAGTCCCGAAAGTGGAAATAGAGATGAGGGATATTCAACAATGTCGAGCGATGTTCAAGGTGAAGGAACTCGTCAGGAACCTTCGAGAGGTCTGGAAGATCTAAAAGAAGCAACAGACGAAACCGAAGGCGATGTTTCTCCGGATGCTCGATTAGTTACTTTAGATGCTGGTGATCCGGATGTTCTTTTTCTTCCACTGAATCTTACTTTAGGAATCAATCCAAGACACAGCTATCCCCCTACCAAAGACTTAGTTCCTTATCAACATGTAATGAGAAGTTTCTCCGATAGTCATCTCTGTTTAAAACTCACAACGAATGCAAATATAACTCCATACAACATCACTAGTCCTACTTCATCTGTTCTTTTAGTGGAAGAGGAAGGTTGGGATGCAGAATATGTTCAACAGTGGTTAAGGTACAATTAATTTAAAAACCCCATAAATTAAAAAAAAACGAAACAAAATTTTAAATACTTTGAAAAACGTAGGCTTGATTCTGTATCTACTTTGCGAAAAAAAATTAACTTTCCATTATAATCTATAGGTTGGATGATACAAGAAGTGCGCAACAACATCGAGACCTACTTGAACTTGAATACGATCGAGCAGAACTGGAAGATTGGAGTTTTTCATTGTCCACTGAAGATCTGGTTCAAAACGAAATTGTCGCTTGGAAGGAACCTGTCATTTCCACTGCTCTTCCTGCGATAAAAGAACAAAATCCGGTTGAGCTTGAAGAAGATGCCAACGAATGTTTATGGAATGGTGCTAGTTATCTTGCTGATAGAACTGGTGGAGAATTGGTAATAAACTATAATTATTAATATTAATCAATTAATTGTATTCAAGCCCTATATACAAACAAACAAAATATAATTTGCAGGTTGCACTGTTAATGGATGCAAGATCAGCAGGACCATGGCCTTATGCATCAAGTCCCGGTGCTTCATGGAGCAGTGAAGAAGGTGTCTTAGAAAATTCCAGTAAAAGATCTTCCGCCGCTCTTTCAGGCTGTAGCGATGATCCAGATTCACCTTCCATTGGTACAGACTTTACTCGTGATTTTTACAGGCTCGTAAAATTTGAGAGCACTAAGAGCTTGGCCAGTACGTCTTCGAGAGGTGGTAAACCACCGCCAGATAAAGAACAAGCATTACAAAGTGTGCTCTCGTTTATTGCCGAACAACAAATGTATCTTGCCGAATTACCACGCAACTCCTTAGAACACGATGGATTACCTACCTCTAACGATGGTAGGTTTTTTTCAAGTTTAAAATAAATTAGAAATTACAAAACTTATAAAGGGAATGTTATGCATGTGTGTGCTGCCTCTGCACTGATTATTTTGATCTTTTTTGTAATGCGGGGGTAGCACACAAATGCTTAACCTGCTATGCCCTTTCTGTTAAAGTTCTACTGAACTTGTAGAGGTAAATGTTCAAGATCTTGTACAAGAATTTTCAACAGATATTGTGAATTTGAATTGTATGATTTTAGATGTTAATCCACATAAGAATGATTGTCTAGATATTTATCGTTCAAAAATAAATACTACTGATGTAAATAAGAGTCTTGAATCCGTAACGAATCATGACCTTTTGGATCAAATACCTGTTCCGCCACTCACATCTGATGAAAGAATTTTGAGTACAGCACCTTGTAATGGAGCTTTAAGTTATTCTACTACACCTTGTGAATTGGGTGCTGTTCCTGAGGAAGACGAAGAAGCTGCGACTTCTTCCACTCCAAGCACAGTCGTGAGTTTAATTTGGAAATGGTTAATTTTACAGAAACAGCAAAGTTGATACAGTTTAATGTTTGAAAAATGTATTTGTTTTGAGCAAAAATATAAAATCCGTGTTAAGAATTCATAAAGCTTGCAAAAAAAAATGTTTTTGTTAAAAAATTATAATTTTTTCAATATTTTTAATTGAAACTTACAATTAAGGCTCCGGATCTTTAAAGGGCACACGCTCGAATTTGCATTACAAGTTTTGGCCTCTGGTGTTAAAATTTTGAAATTTTCAATATTTAATGTTATATTTAAAAAACAATTTTTTAAAGAAATAGATGACAAATTTTTGTTATTTATAAAGTTTGTTCTATATAAAATTGAAATTTAATAATTTTAGGTAAGTCCGGCTCGTGCTCCTCTTTTAATTGAAGGCAGAGATCGTAATTTGAGCTTTCATGAGCGTGCTACCTCAAAAGACGTTATAGACGAATTGAATCGAATGATTAGAAAAGGAGAAGAAAATAGTATGTGTCAAGATACACAAGTAGTTTTAGAAAAGTTGGATCTCGCTTGCTGTTGTCCCACTGGATGGGTTCACGTTGAACGTGAAATCGACTTTACCGACCCAAAGGTATTTTAATATTATATCATTTCACTGAATGAAAAAAAATTCTTTTTTTTTCAATTACAAAATTATAAAGCAAAAATTAAATTAATTAATTACACTACCGTCCGAAATTGTGCGAACGCTTACACCGCGAGTCATTGAAAAACATACTCGCGTGAAAATAAAGATAACTCTGAGAGAAATTAACGTAAAGACTTTTCCCTTATAGCGTTGGAAAGCTTATAAAATTTCGAAAAAAATGATACCTATTTGAATGAGATTGCTTAAATAGGTTTAAATATATCATGTTATAAAGTTGAAAAAATAATTGTAATTTTTTGCTTATTTCCTACCTTGACTTTAACCTCTTGCATGGTCCAGGAAAATCGACGAAAAAAATTGTCCTTTAACATAATTATTCCTTGAAATCTAAGCTTTCCATTGATTCCAAGAACAATAAAAAATGTTGACGGGTTTGCCAGTAATTGAAAAAAAGGACGAGCGTGCACGAAAAAAAATTCGACCGTCAATCGCTCGATTTTCCCGTCTCGCTGCCTCTTTCGTTCGTGCGCCAGGGCCGAAACAGAGAATTTTGATTAGGCGCTTTCCGGGCACCATTAATTTCATTATTTTTGCCTTTTTGTGAACATAAATTATTTGTATAACGCGAAAGATATCATAATTGTGTTATAAGTTAATCATACAGTTATTAAAATTAAATAAATGTAATAAAACTTATATATTTCATTTTTAAAATATTTCACATACATAAAGATATTAATTTTTTAATCACTCATAATAAAATAATTATACAATTAAAGTTTTGTAAGAATTAATATATAGTTATAATCATTAAACAATTTATTATTAAGAATCAAAAACCTCGTTGGTCAAATTGAATTTTTTAATAATGAAATATATAAGTTTTATTACATTTATTTAATTTTAATAACTGTATAATTATCTTATAACACAATTATGATATCTTTCGCGTTATACAAATAATTTATGTTCACAAAAAGGCAAAAATAATGAAATTAATGGTGCCCGGAAAGCGCCTAATCAAAATTCTCTGTTTCGGCCCTGGCGCACGAACGAAAGAGGCAGCGAGACGGGAAAATCGAGCGATTGACGGTCGAATTTTTTTTCGTGCACGCTCGTCCTTTTTTTCAATTACTGGCAAACCCGTCAACATTTTTTATTGTTCTTGGAGTCAATGGAAAGCTTAGATTTCAAGGAATAATTATGTTAAAGGACAATTTTTTTCGTCGATTTTCCTGGACCATGCAAGAGGTTAAAGTCAAGGTAGGAAATAAGCAAAAAATTACAATTATTTTTTCAACTTTATAACATGATATATTTAAACCTATTTAAGCAATCTCATTCAAATAGGTATCATTTTTTTTCGAAATTTTATAAGCTTTCCAACGCTATAAGGGAAAAGTCTTTACGTTAATTTCTCTCAGAGTTATCTTTATTTTCTCGCGAGTATGTTTTTCAATGACTCGCGGTGTAAGCGTTCGCACAATTTCGGACGGTAGTGTATTTTTTAAAATTAATTAAATTTAACTTACCAATTTTTTTATTTGAAAATTTTTAAAAATTGAGTTTGTTTCTTTTGTATCAAATAAAAATTTTAGTAGGGACAAAACATAGTTTTGTTTTATGACAAATGTAATAAAAAATGTTCGGGTCTATTTAGAAAATACTTGAACATTTGTCTAAATTAAATTTTAAAAAACTGCCATTTTTTTGAATTTAGAAAAATTTATTTTCTTTTGTTTCTTATTTTTGTTTGAAAAATTTTGAAATTAAATAATTACTTACAATTGTTATGATAATTTTAGGCTAGAGCAAATTTATTAGACGTGATGTTGGCAAGCAGTGAAAGTTCTTCAGCAACATCGAGCAGTGGTTCTGCAGGTAGTGATTCGGGCGATGAACCTCCAGATTACCGTCACCTGCATAGGTTACACCGTTATCGACGACAAAAGAAAGGTAAATCTCGAGACTAATTCTTAAAAGCGAGTATTCTTGAGAAAAGCTGGAAAAAGCTTCAGTTAATTTTTTTTACTTTTTTCATCACCTGGAAATGCACAATAATGTACTTCACTCGCTCTAATCAATTTTCCATTATTTAGAACCTGCTTTTATATATTATAATAACCATTTTTGGTTTTATACTTTTGTTTCTAACACCTTATTATTATCTAATATATCGTAAATTGGATTAGATGGTGACGTGAGAAATTGGTCTGCAGTTTTTAAAGCTTATTCTTTAGAAGCTTCGCTATTTTCATTTAGTAGAGTTGTAGGGTCTAAATCTGAACGTAAATTGCAAATTTTTAAAAATGGAGCATTTCATTTTAAATTGATGCATCATGTTTCGACCTTTTTTTGAATTTTCAAATTTGTTTAATAGTGTTTTGAATTTTGTTTTTACATTTCAGAGAATTTATTCCATTTTCTTTTAGAATCAATAAACATAGGAAATATAAATGTTATTGAAATTTTTGTTAATATTAAATATATTATAATGTTTCTCTCTGTTAATATTGCGAGAGAGTTTATTAATTTTCTAATAATTTAAAGAATTTTTCCAAAAATCAATTAGAAATTAATTTCCACTTTCAAAATACATTAGCAAATTTGAAAATATAAAAAAATGTTTCAATTTCAAATTGAATGCCCTCAATGTAATTTGAAATACATTGAAACTCGCTAGTAGCTATTGCTGTACATAGCCTGTTCCATATTTTTTGTTCAGATGGTAGCTCCTACGCGGTGTGCTTTGATTGTCACAAGAAAAGCTACGTAGTTCGGCTTAGTGACGATCAGTTTCTGTAATCGACATGTCAATGAGAAAAAAAATTAATTTCTTTGTTTTTATTTGATTCAAGTTTAATTGAACTCGAATTATTACGGTAAATATATGTTAAATGCATATAATATTGATTCTTAAAATTACAATCATCTTTTACAATGCTTCGATTTTCTTTATGCGATTTTCAAATTTAAAGACTCCTTATACAATTTTCCACTTTTACAAGGTGTCCAAAAATTTTAAACCACCTGGAATAGTAATACTCAGATAGCAAGGGTTTATGGATTAGAAGAAATAATTTAATATTATTTCAAGGAAAATTCAATGTTTGTTTTGTAAAAAATTTACAACTTTTAGAAATATGTGACGCTTCACAAGAAATTACACAATTTTATTTTTCAAAACGAAATGAATTATTATTGTACTTGAGTAATTATTTATTTCTAAAATTGGATTAGTTTTAAATATATTATCCAGTATCTAATTGTTAAATAATATTTTTATATCAGAGATTTATAAATTACATTTTTATTAAAAAGTGAAAAAATTTTCGAAAACTAAATATTTCTTCCTTGTAATCGTACATTTCTGTAAATTTTAGAGTATGTAAGAATAATAGTTAACTGTGATAGGTTATTTATCTGATTTATCTCATTTATAAATATTAACCCAAAAAAAGAAGTTAAAAAAGCTTAAAAAGAAGCTTCAAATAAAACGTAATTTATTATTATTTAAATACATATTAATATTTAAAGAATATTGTAAATTTTATAAAAATTCTTTGTACATACAAATTAGATGTATATTTTGTAGAATAAACTTATTATTACTCTTGCAATCTAATATTTAAATAACATTTTTATTTTTAAAAAATGTTATCTGAGTTACTAGCTTGTTAATTTTCTTAACTCATTTTTTTTTCTAATATTCTAACCTAATTTTTTTCTATATACAGTAGAAACTCCCTAAGTGTCGAATTTTTTCCCCACTCATAAGCTTCGAAAGTGTCGAATGGTTTCCTCTTACTACTTGCGTGCGCAACAAGAACCAGGGCCGTATTTAAGACTTTTTTTTAGAATACAGTTTTTAAAACATTTTTTGTAAAATTGATTAAAATTTATATTAGCCTTTTTGTTTTAAGGTTTTTTTGAATAATACAAAATAATGTAAAAACAAATTTAATTTTTCAAATTTTAATAACATTACCTAATTTATATACAATTAAAAAGTAATTTTTTTATCTATTCTTCCTCGAATTATTTAAATAATTAAACTTATATTAATAAAAGACACGCAAAAAACTATTACTTTATAAAATAAAGTAATTCTGACCATGGTATCAAGGTACCACAATACGGCACTGCTTTCTGTTCCACCAAAACGCGAGGGTCAGAGTCTAGTGGTGGTCTCAAACACCCGACACTTAGGAAACTTGTACTATATATATTACTTATTTCAACTTCTCAAAAACATTATTAACTTTTTTTATTTAAAAAATCGCCTAAAGATCTTTCTCTCTCAAACTCAAAGTCTTAAACCTCTCTGAAAACTATAATATATAATATATCACGAGGAGAAAAAAAGGCTATGATAACCTTGAGACCCAAGCAGTAACTGCCTAAGTGAAAAAGGCAGTAGCATTAAAGCTAACACAACTTGGGTACCAAGCAGTAGTTGCCTGGCAAAGGCAAGCTGCATTAGCTGAGCAATTTAAAGCGGTATTCACTTTGTTCTGCACAGTTTCAAATACTTGACACACAAATAGAGTAACGTACAGAAAAAATGTTCTATATTGATAAAATCATTGAAAAATTATACATCAAATTTAATTTTTTCTCTCTATTTTAAATGTAATTTGTGAGATTTATGATAATATTTATAAATTATTATTGCTAAATAAAAGAATATTTTAAGTATTATTAATTATTCCAGATAGCACGTAAGCTTGCAGCAACCTTGCGGCAAGCTTGCCGCGCAATATTGCCAACCTTGCATGGAAAGTTTACCGCAAGCTTCAAATGTCCCACCTAACTTAAGCTTACATGGTAAGCTTGCCGAAAGATTGCAGTGTAAGGTTACTGCAAGATTGCACAGTAAGATTATCGCAAGATTGCTCAGTAAGCTTGCACGGTAAGCTTGTCGTAAGGTTGGTGCAAGGTTGCCAAATAACCTTGTCCAATCAGCAGAGAAGTTTGCATTGAAAATGAGGACTATGCGCACTTGCAATCATAAGCACTTACGGCTGCGCAGTAAATTTTTTTGACCTCCAAAGAACTGGTGCTCAATGTATGTATAAAAATAAATTTCCTCCCCCCAAAAATTTTTTGTTATATTCCAGAAGGTTGCGCCAAGCTTGCCACAAGGTTGCCGAGAAAACTTGCATGGCAAGCTTGCTGCAACCTTTTGTGCTGATTGGCAAGGTTATTTGGCAACCTTGCACCAATCTTGCGACAAGCTTACCGTGCAAGCTTACGGAGCAATCTTGCGATAATCTTAAGGTACAATCTTGCAGTAACCTTACACTGCAATCTTTCGGCAAGCTTACCATGCAAGGTTGGCAAGTTTGCTGCAAGCTTACGTGCTATCTGGAATAAAACAGGTGTTGTTCACTGTTTTTAAACAAGCATTTTTAAATTAATAACAAATATAGTTTCAATAACATATACAATTTATAATTTTACGCATAGCATTTAAAATTTAAAAATCTAACTTTTCTCTCATATATAATTCAAACAAAAGTTTTAAAAAAATACGATTTAATTATGAAAAACAAAAATGACTGAAGGTGTCAGCTACTGTACTATAGTTATTCTATTTCACCATTTCTTTATTTATAGAAATGTTCTGTTTTTGAAATAATCCAAATTGTTTAAAACAAATTTTGTAATTGGTTCTTCAAAACCATAAAAAAAGCATATAAAAAATGCCAATGAAAAATAATAGCAATTATAATAAAATTTATAATTTTTTATGATGTGTACGTTACTCTATTTGTGTGTCAAGTATTTGAAACTGTGCAGAACAAAGTGAATACCGCTTTAAATTGCTCAGCTAATGCAGCTTGCCTTTGCCAGGCAACTACTGCTTGGGACCCAAGTTGTGTCAGCTTTAATACTATGTACTGCCTTGTTCACTTAGGCAGTTACTGCTTGGGTCTCCTGTTATCATAGCCTTTTTTTACTCTCCGTGTGTGATATGTCTCTTTATATTATTACTTTGTGTAATATACTATTCATAATTAAATATATTTAATAATAATAATAATAATTTTCAAAGTAAAAAATGTGAACATTTCTTTAGAATGTAGTTTGAGAGAGGAGTAGAAGCATGTAAGATGAGATAAAGAATAAAAATGCGGGATATGCAATCGGAAATTGAAAGACCTCAAAAAGAGGTAAAAAAAAAAGATGTTGATGAAACGAAAGATGCTGCTAAGCCGAACTACTCTGTGTCCGCTAGAACCGGTATGGGAGAAAAAGCGAGTGAGGTCTGAGGCTTGTTGACCTGCTGCGCTTGGTTTCTCAGCAACGGCTGCTCAGGCCCATCGAGTCCTTCGACTGCCGTCCACCTGGGGGTCGATGAGGCCGTCCATCATTGGTCGCGGTGATGACTTCTTCGTTCGCTATGGCGCCAAAGAACGTGAGGCCGTCGCTTCCTTCAATTTTTTGGACGACATCGCCATCACTTCCGTTGCTCCTTCATCTTCCGAGGAATCATCCGTCAACGTTCTCGATTTCCTCAGCACACCATCCATCGGCTTCAACGATGACCTCATGGAGGTCTCTCCTCTTTGAGCTAAACTTTGTTTTCCTCAATGAATCATTCTTTTACATATTAATAATATTACTTTGTTTTTATATATGTACAAAGCCACTAGTCAAGCAAAAAATCTTTTTTCTTTTTCCCAATATTTTTTTAGAAATAATTTGACTGATTTTAAAAAATTTTTATTAAAAAAAACTGTCTTCTAATTATTATTTTTTATATTTAATATTGGAACATGATTGTTTTTTTCTTCATGAACTATATGCAAAAAAAATATTTTTTAATTACAAATTAAAAAGTAATTTTCTAATATATTTGATATTTTATTAGGCGTATGACGAAATGTTAATTTAATAAGAATAAAATTAAAAAATTCACCATTATGCTGAAAAGATAGATGTATTTATTTTACTTCAAAAAAAAAATGTTTACTTTACTGGAAAAATTTTAAAAGTAAAAAATTTCTCAGCATTTTTATATAATAGTCATTATTGTAGGAATAGATCAGCAACGATAAAAGGAGTTACTTTGAAAAAAAAATAATTTCCAGTTCCTCTTTTTTAAAAATCCTTTTCTTAAACTTAATTTTCAATATGTTTGTATTCGATAATTTGACTAAATTGTTTTTTTAGTATACCAGAGAATAATAATAAAATAATAACCAAAAAACAATTGTTAGTTCCCTAAATGATTCAATTCTCATATTTGATTTAGTCAAATAAATGAAGATCATTTACAAAAGTGAATATGCCTTAGAAAATACACTTTAGTAAAAAGAGTATTTTTGAATTTTGATTCTATTAGAAAAATTTGGAAATCAAATCATATGAGAAGAATATATTAGAAAATGAATAATTGGAAAATATTTTTTTTTTTTTAGAAAAACTACCACAATTTTATCGAAAATTAAAAATAATTGCATCGTTCTTACAAAAAAAAAATTTTGAGGGAAGAAAAAAATATCAATAAAGTACTTAATAATATTTTAAAATTTTCTTTGCATATTACAATAATACTATATTATATTTGTCTACCAATTTAGGTATATAAAGAAGCAACTCGTATCATTTAAAACTAGAAAAAACGAATTAATAGGATAGACCTAGACTCTTTAAATGAAATTGTGATAATTTTCTGTACTTATATAAATCTTACAAAAAAAGAAAACGAAAATCGTAGAATAAATATTTTCTTGCATTAGTAAATCCCACGTTTATTAATATTTTTAAACCTGATTTTAACAAAATTTTAGGTTTTGTAAATAGTTGTGAAAAATTTAATGAGCAAATTATATTCTGTTATATTTGAAAAATTTACTATAATATTTAATAAATTATTAATTTTATTTTAATAAATTTGTTTCTAAATTATTTTTTATGTCACATAAATACTTTTTTTCTTCTACTAACGAATGTTATTTCTTTTTTCTCATTTTCTACACTAATTTTTTGAAATTTTACCAAAATTTAAACCTGTGTATTGATTACAGTATAATAACGGAAATAAATGTCGCAAAAATTAACAGATTTAAAGAATAGTTTTACAAAAATTATTTAATAATTTTATATTAAAAGAAAGTACGTAAAAAGAGGCTAATTAAAAGAGAATATTTTCTAGATTTACCTAAATACAATTTTAAATCAATGGTATTGTTAATTAGTAACAATTTTTAATAAAACCTTTTAAATTTATAAAAAATTTCTCAAAAATATTGTAATGTTTTTTTTAAGTCAGTATTTATAAGGTGAAAAGTTTATTTCTATTTTTATAAACATTTTGTTATTTAGCTTTGGATTTTTGATTCAAGAAAAACAATTTATTACACCCTGAGAAATGTTTTATTTGAACCAAATATAGTATATTTGAGTTAAATAAACGTATATTTATCTCACAACCAACTAATCTATTTATTGGGCGTAAATAAAATTTTTTATTTGAATCAAATAAAAAAGTATTTGAATCAAATAAAAATTTATTTGAGTCAAATATATAATTTCTTTGGATGTATAAATGTGTATATATTTATTTGTTAAAAAAAATTTAACACAATTTTATTTATTTGTCACGAAGCAAAAATATTTTTTAATATTCAATTGTGATTATTAATATGAGAATTTCAAAAATAAAACCTCAAAAAAATTTTTAATCTGATTTTAGAAACTTTAGAATAAGAACTTGATTTATATATAAGAATTTGTACTTTTTTCTTGATTTTTATTCATATTATTGAAAACAAAAATAAATTATATTTTCTTAAATTTATTAGGGCTGTTCAATTAACCCTTTCTTTAGAAACAAATTTTTTTTCTTAAAAAATGCAATTTTTAATTTTTAAACAAGTTTTTCTAAAGTTTCTTATCTGAAACCAGAGTTCAAAATTGAAAATTTACTAGATTAAATGAAAAAAATTGTTTCAATATACAGTTTTCAAAATCATGAAAGTTATACATGAGTCTTGAAAGGGTTAAAATTTATAACTTTGATTTCAGAAACGATTTGAATATCAAATTAAATTTAATTCATTTAATTTTTTAAGATATTTTCATTTTATTTTATTTTTTACTATAATCTCAGAAATACGGAATAAATTTTGTTTATTTGAAATTATGTGAAAAATTTAAACAGCTTAAAATTTATAAGAAAGTTTAAAAAGTAAAATATTGTACGGGTATAATGCGGAAAATACGATATTCTTTTTTATCGTAAGGATTGAGTCTGTAAATATTTATTTATTTCCGAGACGCTGTTAATAAAATACTAAAATACAAAACTGAAGTTTATAATCAATTTAAACATGGCGTACTTTAAAAATATTTTGTAGTCGATATATAGTAAATGTTTTAGTGAAAAGATTTTTAAAGAAATCTCCATAAACATGTAATGCGAGCTCTAAAACAACTTCTAATGTTTACTGGTTCCTTATAAATAAAGCATAATGAATTATGCATGGCTCACTAATGTGAAAGAAAAAATGACCCTTATATTTGACTTGGGTTCAGTCAAATTATTAGAATAAACACTATTAGATGTAAATTAAGAAAAAATTAGAACAACCAATAAAAATTGAAAAACAAAAACCTATTTTACACTAAAAAAAAAATTATGTTGTACGTAGGCGAGTGAATATAACTGAATATCAATATTCAAAGTTGGTAGCGATATGAAGACTGTATTTAATCATAAGTGACTTTTAGAAACGATTTAATTATGAACTCTTTATAAGTTTAGAATGACCAGATAGCCTCTCATGAAATCAGGATACCTTCTCTTTCTTCACAACACCCAATTATTACGTTGGCGGTAAATTTAAATTTTCGACAAAAAATGTTAAGGAAAATATTTTCCTAAAGTCATAAATTAGATTTTTTCTATGTATTTTATACATTATATTCAAGCACATCGAAAATTATAAAAATTCAATTTTTTATTTTTTGAAGTCATAAAAAAATTAGAATCTATGGTAATTTCTAAAAACTGGGTCGTCTGGTCACTCTATATAAGTTCAATTACTAAAACAAATAAAAAATCGTGGGGTACTGGCATAATTATTATAAGTGGTTCTGTCCCCTGTAAAAAAAAAGTATTGGGAAGTACCAATTTACGCATTAGGAGTGAGTAGCTCACAATGCGTAATCTGAAAAAAAGCGTATTGAGTGGTTTATGGTGAATACGTAAACTTGAGAGTTGTAATGGGTCAGAAGTTTAACCTCTGTCAAAAAATGGAAACGACTTTATAGAAGTCATGAAAAAGTGTAAATAATAAACAATTCGAGCCAAAAGAATAAAATAATACTTGTGTTAGGTGCAAATTGTGAGTTTTAGAGAAATCAAGAATTCTGAAATGTGAGATACGAGTTCAATGCGCCATTCGTTGACTTGAATCTGCTTTTGCAGACCGCCGTAAACAGGTGGTTAGAAGGACGTCTGCTAAAGTGGTTGACAGGTGACTTGATTTCTCTAAAACTCACAATTTGCATACAATACAAGTATTATTTTATTCTTTTGTCTCGAATTGTTCATTATTTACACTTTTTCATGACTTCTGTAAAGTCGTTTCGTTTTTTTTTGACAGGGTTATAAACTTCTGACGCATTACGACTCTCAAGTTTAGGTGTACACCAAACCACTCCATGAGCTTTTTTCGGATTACACATTGTGATCTACTCACTCCCAATGTGTAAATCGGTACCTTCCAATACTATTTTACATGTTCATTCTGGTAAAATAATTTAACTCTGACGTAAAATTAAGGTTAAAATTTTTGCCAACAACAATAATATTGGTGGTAAAACTTAAGCTTGAAAGTAATAAGGTATTTGAGAGGGAATAATATCTCGTGTAGAAATTTACGTATAAGGTGATACAAAAACATAACCTCTAATATCAGCCTGCTTGTTGCTCGTAAATATTCGCTTAAAAATTGATAAAAATAAGAATTGATAAAGTAAACGAATGTTTATATTAATAAAAAGTCAGTACAAGAAGCAGGCGCAAAGCGCCTACATTTTAGGGTTTCGTGGCTTCTAATAAGTCATTTTCAATACACAGAAAATTAAAAGGCATTAAAATAAGCTGCAACGCTTATTATTTTAATCCAATTTTGCTTATTTTAATCCATTTTGGTATTAAAATAAGCAAAATTGGATTAAAATAATAAGCGTTGCCGCTTATTTTAATGCCTTTTAATTTTCTGTGTATTTACGATCATTTTTAAAAAAATTCATTTTTAAGTCTTTTGCTTAAGCAGACTTAAGACTTAAACATAAGTCTTAAGTCTTCTGCTTAAGTCTTCTGCTTAAGTCTTATGCTTAAGTCTTATGCTTAAGTCTTATGCTTAAGTCTTATGCTTAAGTCTTATGCTTAAGTCTTATGCTTAAGTCTTATGCTTAAGTCTTATGCTTAAGTCTTATGCTTAAGTCTTATGCTTAAGTCTTATGCTTAAGTCTTATGCTTAAGTCTTATGCTTAAGTCTTATGCTTAAGTCTTATGCTTAAGTCTTATGCTTAAGTCTTATGCTTAAGTCTTATGCTTAAGTCTTATGCTTAAGTCTTATGCTTAAGTCTTATGCTTAAGTCTTATGCTTAAGTCTTATGCTTAAGTCTTATGCTTAAGTCTTATGCTTAAGTCTTATGCTTAAGTCTTATGCTTAAGTCTTATGCTTAAGTCTTATGCTTAAGTCTTATGCTTAAGTCTTATGCTTAAGTCTTATGCTTAAGTCTTATGCTTAAGTCTTATGTTTAAGTCTTATAAGACTTAAGACTTGAGAAATGGAACATGAGATTTGACACTTGAGACATGAGACCTAAGACATGAGACTTGAGACATGATACATGAAACTTGAGGCATGAGAACTACGGACGGACGCCCGAGTCTCGCTTTCGAGCCTGGACCACGAAACCCTAAAAATGTGATATAGCTATTAAACAATGCACACAGTCGTTCTGCTTGTTGGCATTGCGGCTGAAATTGTAAGTCAAAAGTGAGGTTCTAGTGAGGGCCTTTTATTTTGGTAGGGCAATAGGCAGGTGAATTAGCTGTTGCCTCGTAAAGTCTACTACTACTATATTTTCCAAATCCAATTTCCACGCAGAATTGCCTATGATTGGTACAAGCTGTAATTTTAACCTTACTATTATGTCCTTAAATTCAATAAATTGACATACCATTTTTTAGCACTATTTTTTATTAGCATCGGGCAATGAAGTAAGTAAAGTTTTATTATTGTTATATTTTGAGCGAGGTTTTGAGTTAAATTGACATTCAAATTTTAAAATGAATAAATTTTGTATTTTGGAATTATAATTAATAATATTAATACTAGTATCTAATAATAATTTACAATTAAAGAGTTTTCTTATCTTGTATTTTTAAAGGGACTTTTTGATAAAAACAAGAAAATTCTTTATTTATTAGGGATATACAAACAACATGAAATAATTTGATCAAACTTTCTGTATTCCCCTACATATTTTATGACTCATGAATATTTATTTACATATTAAGAAATTAAGTAATTGGCTAATAATACTGAATTGTAAATTAGTTTTCTCGTTATATGACTTTATAGTTGCGCAAATAGACATGCGCGCAAAAAGTACTTTTGTATTTATTTGTAAAATATACCTTTACTTATTTTCGCACAGTTACATAAAAACATTTTTTGTTTTGAATAAAATTGCGTGAAAAAGAAATTATTTATTACACTGAATCAAAAATTCAGTAAGCAAAAACTGAATGAGTGTGATCAAAAACACAATTATTTAAAATACTGTAAATAAATTGTATCATAGTACAATAAATGTAAGTTATCTTCTCTTTGACTTATTAATAAATAATGACAATATACGGAATCAACCAGATTGTGTTTTTTTCTGAAACTAATTCGATCCTATTTGTTATAGAATAGATTAAAAGTTTGAAAAGTTTTAGATGGAATCTTCTTTTTTCATTTGCAGAAATTAATTAGAATAGGGATCTGAAATCATAGTAAAATCATGAGAAAAATGACCACGATGTGTCAGACATCTTGATTTTTTATTTCGTTCTTGAACATATAGGTTAGAAGAGAGACAGAACGAAAAATGGCTAACACAACGGAGTCGACACCAGATGGCGTATCGTATTATTCTAGATCTTTATTATTACACTGAAAAAGAGTTAAGACACTCATAGATGAGCGGCGCCACTTTAGTTCAAGTCATAAATGTCCGCAAATCTTGGGTGACACGTTCACCCAACTGACACGTACCTTTAGGCAAAAAGTCGCATCACGCAAAGTCGATTCGTTCGCTCAGAAAGGCGAAAGATTCACCCAAAAGTGAAAGTGAACGACTTGTATTTATTTAACGTAACAGTTCTATGCTGAGAGCAACTCTGTTGAATGCTTCACCATACTCAAAATCCCTGTACAATATTTTGTATAAGAAAATGTACATGTTCAGCAGCTGAACCAGTTCTGGTGCGGAAAAAGTACATTTTCTGGCACCAAAATTTGGAACAAGTTCTTGTATCAAATCTTGTACAAGAAAATATATTTAATATTTGTATACAAGAAAATGTACATGTTCTTGTATATATATTCTTATGCAGGTTCATGTACAAGTAAGTACTTGTAGGGGAGGGGGGGGGAAGAAAGATAATTACAAAACAAAAGCACTTATTTGTTAATCGGGTTGTCGATTACATCTTGCCTTTGTTGGTTGGATTACTACATATTACCTTTGTCGTTTGGATCATTAAACCTCCCCCCTTTTTTTATAATTTCAAGATGAGCATACGCCCCCTTTCAGAAATACAGGGGGTCAAAGGGCTGACATGTCAAAAAAAATAACATACAATATTATCGAATAATAATGTTCAAAAAAATCAGACGAAATGGTTCCTTTAAGATTTTGGTCTGCTGATTACGAATCTAAGATTCGTTTTTAAAAATTCAAAATGGTGGATCCAATATGACGGACATGAAAATAAAAAATCGACTGAATTCGCTTTAAACTCGTTACTCGGGGGTTTTTGGGGTCGCTGATTACGAATCTAAGGAGGACCACAAAAATTTTAAAAATCAATCCAATTTACTTGAAAATGGTTACTCGGGTGTTTTTGGGATCGCTGATTACGAATCTAAGATCCGTTTTTAAAATTTCAAAATGGCGGACCCAATATATCCAATAAAGGCTAGATGTAATACCAAATCCAACCAACATAGGTAAGATGGAATAATCGAACCAACGAAGGCAAGATGTAATCTGCAACCCGATCAACAAAGATGAGGTTTAATGATCCAAACGACAAAGGTAATATGTAGTAATCCAACCAACAAAGGCAAGATGTAATCGACAACCCGATCAACAAATAAGTGCTTTTGTTTTTAGGGTTTTCTAAAGTCGGCTGCTATCTTTCAATAATTTCAGACTTTTAGAACTTCAATTAATTTTAGTTAATCACATTTGCAAACATGCAGTGGAAATAAGATGTAGAATGGAATAGAAATAAATGAAATGATGATCCAATGATCGTCTTTGTTTTTAGGGTTTTCGAATGTAGGCTGAAATCATATAATAATTTCAGACTTTTAAAACTAAAATTAGTTTTCTTAAATCACATACTCAAGCTTACATTCAAATAATATGTTTTGAAATTATGTATTAAAGCTATGAATGTTTCTAGATTTTTTTTGTGCGATTCCAGGTGAGATTTTGACTTTTTCGGAGTAGGTTAACCGATTGCAATGAAACTTTGGAATTCTGTTTTATATAGTAAGAGTAATCTTTAATGTGAATTGCAGCTTAAAATATTTGTTAGTTTACGAGATTTACAATAATAACGAAAAATTTTAAACTGCTATATCTTCCATTCTAATAATCGGATTGAGGTCTACTTTTTTTATAGTGTCAAGGAAAATGAGAGAAATAAATCTCTTTCAGAACAATTTTTTATACACGTCAACTAGCAGAAATCGCAATTGTTTATACTCGTAAATTATTAAAATTCAATAAGTTAAACTTGCATTTACAATGGGATTCCTTTGGAACATTAAAGAAAACACAGGTAAGATCATCTAAGCGTTTAAGTGATTGAATTTTAGATTGTCGCGTGAAATTTATTCAATTATTATTTAATAATTTTTTTAATTGTAAAATTATAAAAAATTGTTCTGAAAGAGTTTTATTTCTCACATTTTCCTTGACATTTTAAAAAAAAGGTAGACCTCAATCCGATTATTAGAACGGCAGATATAGGAGTTTAAAATTTTTTGTTATTATTGCAAATCTCGTAAACTAACAAATATTTTAAGCTGCAATTTACGGTAAAGATTAGTTTTACTATGTATAACAAAATTCCAAAGTTTCATTGCAATCGGTTAACCTACTCCGAAAAAGTCAATATCTTACCTGGAATCGCACTTTTATTTTCTATGTTGGATCAAAAAGAATACTAACAAAAATGTTTAGTGCTTTGCAATGTCAGTTCACCTTGAGATTTGTGTTCACCGACCTCGAAAACCCCTAATTAACCATTTTGAAGCCAATTAAATAGATTTAAAAGATAGACGTCCGCCATTTTGGATCCGTCATTTTGAATTTTTTAAAACTGATACCAGATTTGTTATTTGATGTCTTTTGGGGTCACTGATTTATTTTCATCATGATTTCTTATATGCTAAATGTTTTAGGTATTAGGTGTAACACTTATTTCAAGAACTAAAATATAAATTATATTTATTGTGTATTATTATTTTAGAATATTTCTAGAATGATTCCACAGTTAACATTAGCTCCAATAGGAATTTACCATTTAATACAAAAGAATAGTGCTTAAAATAAATATAAATAAATAAATAAAAATTGATTTAAATAAATTTATAATCAGCGGCCTCAAAAACCCATAGATACAAAGTTGCATAAGAATCGAACATTTTTTTAAATTGCCCGAGGCGAAATTTGAATCCTCTTTAGCTTCCCTTAGAACCTAAATAGGCCCTCTTTACGATCTTGTAGACTCCCGTAGGCCCTCCTTTGAATCCAAACGTGGAAGAAAGGTAAATTTGCGACTGGTTGAGGAAGCTAAAGAGGGTCTAGTTCGATTAAAAAAGTACAAAAAAATGCAAAAAAAAAACTCTTTTAATTATTTTGATTAAAGCAAAATTAATTTTTTCTTCACACAATATTTCTTTAATTACCCTTTAAAAACTGGAATTAACATATTTTGAAGCGTTTTCAAAAAATTAATAGAATTAGAGCAATTTCAAAATTTTCAATATTTTAATCAATTTTTAGACCCTACTTTAAATCCAAACGTGGAAGAAAGGGAAATTTGCGACTAGTTGAGGAAGCTAAAGAGGGTCTGTTTAACTCTACTTTACTCCTTGTAAATTAGGGCTTAAATTTCGCCTCGGGTGTCCACCATATTGGATCCGTCATTTTTTAAAGCTGTCTTCATATTCGTGATCAGCAACCACAAAAACATCTAGATATGAATTCTCATGAAAATCAATTCAAAACATTTTGAGTTACGACTTTTCTCCTGTTAGAATTGCGATTCCTAACACTGTACAGCGCGGTGGTTGGCGCGCGTCACAATATAGTTCTTTTGATTTTAATCATTTTTTAATGTTTTTGCTTTTATCATAGTTTTTTTAAACTTATAAAGTCGTCAAGTAACAAGTTTTAAGTGAATAAAAATAAGTTTTAAAAAGTCTTCCGTCATATTGCATCTGGTATTTTGGATTTTCAGAAACTGTTGTCAAATTCGTAATCAGCGACCCCGAAAACCACCCAGAAACAAGATTCAAGTGAATTTGATGCATTTTAAAATAATAGGTCGGCCATTTTGAATAGGCCATTTTGGATTTTCAAAAATTGACATAAAATTTGTAATTAGCGTCCTCGAAACCCCCCCGAGTAACGAGTTTTAAGAAAGTTTATTTAGTTTTTTTGGTTTTACTCTCTCTAAATTTGAATCAGCGACTATTCGCTTTTTTATAGCTGCATACTCTGGGCTGATTAAAATAGCGACTATTCGCTAAGTAATAAGCGAATTTTCAATGAGTGATCCCAGCTGCATACTCTGCGCTAAGAATAAGCGAATAGTCACTAATTCAAAGCGAATAGTCGCTAATTCAGATTTAGAGAGCACATTTTTGAAACCCGTCTTGTATTTTCTCACATTTACAGTTATTGATTATTAGAATATTAATTAATTTATTTAAAAAATGTTATTATTATTAGTTAATTAAAAGTTTAACAAATACTTTTTAATATTGTACTTAAAATTTACCAAATTGGAAAAATGTTCTTCTTTTTCAGAACTTTAAAATTTTTTGTTTAAAATTTGTAATTAATTTTGAAAAATTTAATTTGTAGTACTAATTATTTTAGTAAAAATTATGGAAACAATAATATGAACAGTGTATGGTTAATCTTTTGCATTTGCATGACATATTGAATTATTATTATAATATTATTAATAATAATATAAATATTAATAATAATATAAATATTAATAATAATAAAATATTTATAACATTTATAATAATCAATAACTGTAAATGTAAGAAAATACAAGACGGGTTTCAAGCAGGGGCCCGCACGCATATTCGGCCCTGGCGCAAGGAACGGGCGAAGCGAAGGGGGTGCAAGAACTAATGTTTGACGCTGAGTTGTGTAAAAAACATGCTCTGACATTTTTCAACTTATCTCAAAAACGAAACAATATTTTTTAAGTCTTAAAAATTACTTTTAAAGCTAAGATCTTAAAGATTATGTTGTAGGAGTTACAAATTTTTCCTTGCATTTTCCTAGATTATGCAGGGAATCAAAAACTGGGTACGAAATTGGGAAAATTAGACGTTTTTTTTCGAAATCTTTCCAGTGTTATAATCGCTCCAGAAAGTCGAAAAAAAATTCTAGGTATATATTCAGAAGCAGAATTTTATCAGCTTTCAGGTGATCTAAGTTTCAAGTCTCTAGCTTTTCTCAAACTTAAAATATCTTAATTTAGGTGCGACATCAACATTTCATTCCGCGCACGTCAATCGTACCGACAATTTCCGACGGTAGTGTATATACGTTTATTTCGAAAAAAAGGATCTGCTACGATTTTCGGCCTTGAAAATTTGGAATCCTAGGACAATTTCCAACAAATCTGCGTTAACCGAATGTTGCTATATTTTCGAAAAACCTATTCGAGATTAAAGCCAAGTGTGGGCACGATCTTGTACAAGATTGTGTACACGATCCTGTACAAGTTTTTTCAATCGAGAATTAATGCTGATCACTTGCGTAATTATTTCGTACAGTTTTCCCACTTATCCAGTCTAATCTCTCCGAATTTGATACGAAATCAATCCGACTTTTTTACCAGGGCAGTGAGAGCACGCGTGCCGGTCTGACTCTGTGAGCGCATTTTGCTATCTGTGGGTAGAATTGTATTTAGACGATGGAAAAAAATCATGTAAATACCTTCATGTTTCGAAACGTTACATTGTTACCTTCTTTAATTTTATTTAAAAAGTCACTAAACATGAAATAACACAAAGCAAGTATTATTTAATCTTCAAACACAAAGGTTTTTTTTAATATATAAAAACACAATGTTTAAATAATTTTTTAAATATAAGATACATTATATTTGTACATATTTTTATTGCAATTTTTTTTAGTGAAATTCTATTGCAGCTTTGACAAAAATAAATTTGAAAGTTAAAACGAATTATATCTACAATATTTTTATTTTTCAGTAATATATAATTTTTAAATTAACACAACAGTGTCTTGTAAACCCCTCCCCTATTAAGCATTACGTATTATATGGATGACTCCTTTGTTACCTGAGTTGTTAAAAGAACAATGTGACGACGAAATCACTTCAGTATATTTCATGGAAAGCTCAAAGTTGCTTCATATTCAATAATGTTATCGTTTTTTAAAAAATTTATTTACTATTTAATCGTATTTGAAATTTCAAGCTTAAAAATTGTTCAGGTAAAATTTGAAATAATTTCTTCAGTATATTCTGAATAAATATTTATTAAATCATTTACAAAGAAACGACATTTCGATACCAACGTTGGTATCCTCTTCAGGTTATTCTAATAAATAAAAATTAATAAAGATTAAAATACAATACACGATCTATAATTTTAATTTTTTAAATTTTAATACTATTTTCAAAAACTTACTAAAATGTAACAAAATAATAGTACAGTAGAGCCTTCAATGTGCACGGTGGTGCTATTAAGGCAAGACAATTTTCAGTGCCGTACACTCTAAGAGATAAAAAATTCAAAAAAGAGTTGCAAAAGTATGAATGAATTATGAAAATAAATTTTGTGTTACATAATTATATTATGTATATATTATTGTGAGAAATATTAAATTTGGTATTTCAGCAGTTTATAAAACCATGAAATATATTATAACTGTCAATTAATTTTGAAAAATGTTTTAAATGTAATTGAATTTTCGAGGAATTTTATTGAAATTATTGTCAATAATTAACTTGGTAAATACTTTTAAGATGTACAAATTTCCAAAATCATTAAGTTTAATAAAAATTGATTTTAAAATATTTTTGTTTTTTCAAAATACGGACACTTTTTACAAAATCGGCCAAAACACCACGGATCCTTATCTTACAAATTTCCTAAATCCAAAAAATCGTGCTAATCCATACAGAAACGTGATTGAAAAACGAAAAGTTGGAAAGTAATATAATGATAGCTTTATTACGTTTTGCAGCCATTAAGGTCAATGTCGATGCAATTTTTACATAGATTTTCAGTGGGAAAATCACGTCGACTTTGACCTGCCCTTAAGCGCCGTGAATGTTCAAGTTTCGAAGAGGAAAAATTTCAGGCAAACATGCACGGAGGCTCTACTGTAGAAAAATAAGAATTTTAATTTTATTAGAAATAAAAAATTGCCTTCTATTCCCAGTCTAAAGAAGATGCACTAGACTTAACGGCCTTGAAAAATTTAGTCGACTATCTTCAAATTCCATCTGTTCATCCAAATGTGAACTACGGTAAAAAAATTTACAGTCTTCTGTTTTTAAATATTTGGATTTTATTTTAATATTTGGAAACATTAATTTTCACAGACGATTGTGTAAGTTTTCTGAAAAGACAAGCTCAATCTCTTAACCTAACTGCGAATGTTTTTAAATTGCATCCCATAAAACCAATTGTAATTATTACATGGGAAGGCAAAAAACCGGACAAACCTTCTATTTTAATCAATGGACATATGGATGTTGTTCCTGTAAATGCCGTAAGTTTTACTTAATTTAATGTACTTTTTTCGCAACCCACACAGAAAAAACCTAGTCTCATTTTTGTTGCAAATCAAAATGAGCCAATGCTAAACGACATAGACAGTGGCGCCACCAACCTGGTTCATTTTTGTTGCACATCAAAATGAGCCGCCTACACGGCTCATTCTGAGTTCAGTTTTTTTCTGTGCAGTGGACAAAAAACCATGTTCGTTCCAAAAACGTTTCATTGTAACTGTATGTTCAATTAAAATCATTAATTTTTACAGAAAGAATGGAAATATCCACCATTTGAAGCCAAAATAGATAAAAATGGCAATATTTATGCTCGTGGAGCGCAAGACATGAAGAGTAATACTATACAATATATAGAAGCAATTCGCCGATTAAAATTAAAAGGAATTCGACTAGAGAGAACGATTCATTTGTCTTTGATGCCGGACGAGGAAACTGGAGGAGAGTTAGGCATGAAAAGTTTTGTGGAATCAAAACACTTTAAAGATCTAAATATTGGTTTTGCCTTAGATGAAGGATTTCCTGCATCTGAAAATAAATATCATGTAACCTATGGTGAGAGGACACTATTTGAAATTTGGATTCATTGCCCTGGTAAATCTGGTCATGGTTCGAATTTGTCTCCTAATACTGCTGGTGAGAAATTACAAATCGTAATTGATCGTTTTCTCGAATTTCGAAAAACAGAAAAGAAAAAATTCGATGACTCCGGGCGTATGGACAATGTTACTTCCATAAATCTAACAATGCTCAAGGTATGAAAAAATTCTTTGAATCAAAGAAACTTTTTTCTTTGTTATAGGGTCAAAGGAAATTTCTTTGATTTAAAGAAATTATTTCTTTATTTGCTTTTTATTGACTCAAAGGAATATTTCTTTGATTTTACGAAATATGTTTTATTTGAATCAAAGAAATAAATGTTTGTTTTAATGCAAAAATTTCTTTAAATGAAAAATATATTTATTTCGTTTTGAGATTGTATGTACGTTCGTATTTTGATTAAATTATAGTTTAAAAACATTAAGTTAATTAAATATTTTTGAAATACTTGAAATGTATTTCAAAGACATTTAATTAATATAATGCGCATTTTTACATGTAAAACACTGAACAACAGTTTATGGCAGAATTTTTGATCACGAAGAAAACAATCAATACACTGCGCGAGTCACTATTTACACATTTCACATATCATTCGTAAATTCCAAAAACACGAACAATTCACAAACTTCTTTATCACTCACTGTAAGAAAAACTAAAACAAAATTTAGCTATCAATACAAAACTTTTTAGGCGATAAATCCGATTATAATTATCACGCCATGAACACGCTGCCATTAGGCACACACAGCTGTTTACTAATTTACGTAGTCTGCGTAAACGCAGTCGTGACAACTCAGCGTATTTAAGTTCGGAACAAATATTTCTTTGATTCAAAGAAAAAATTTCTTTGATTCAAAACACTCAAAAATTTCATTTTTGTAAAAGCAAAGAAAAATTTTTTTAATTCATCAAATTTTACCTTTGATTCAAAAAGTGAGTTTAAAAAACGATTTCTTTGTTTCATAGAAATCTTTTCTCTGGGTGTAATAATATTACAGTAACATTATCCGGTAATATTATTGGAATATTACAGTGATATTAAAATGTCCGCCTGATATGGTGCTATTACGGTATAATATTACTGTAATGTTACTGTAATATTACAGTAATGTTACCGGGTAATATTGCTGTAATATTACGTGCCACATGAGTTGGCATTTAATAATTAGTAATACAGCTGCGAAATTGTACTCACTGCATGCTTCTGCCACCTAACGGCTGCAGGACGTAATAAAGCTGTCATTATATTACTTTCGTACTTTTCATTTTACAATCGCATTTTTGTATAGATTTGCACAATCTTTCGGACTTAAAAAATTTATAAGATAAGGATCCTTGGTATTTTTTCCGATTTTGAAAAAAGTGTCTGCGTTTTGAGAAAAAAATATTTTAAAATCAATGTTTATCATTTTCATGTTCAGTGCCGTTTTTACAGGGCGATAATTAAATGCCAACGAATTTCAGAGACCGTTCGACACTCTTATTAAACAAAATTTGTAGATTAAATGAAGAGTTCATTTTATGTTTTGTACACTTTTTTAAAATTTTATAGATTTTTTCCATAGAACAATAAATTTTTGATGTTTTTATAGTATTCACCATATGACCATGCACTTTTTGTTTTCAAAAAATCTTGTAAAATCATGCATTTACACGAATTTCTCCTATTAAACGGCACAACAGTATTATAATAAGTAAAACAGGAAAAATAAAAGGAATGATTTTAAAAAGCAAGATAAAGTTGAAACTATCGAAATCGCGGAATAATAAGAGCAGCGATTTGTTTTTATGAAAAGATAATAATTTTATAATTGGTCTTTTCAGGGTGGCGTACAAGTAAATGTAGTTCCCGATATGTTGTCAGTGGCATTTGATATTCGTGTCTCACCTTTTGTTAATTTTACGCAATTCATTGGAATGATTGAAGGTTGGTTAAGGGAAGCTGGCAGTGGAGTTAATTATACTGTTATTGACAAAGGGACGCAAATTGAAGTTACAAAACTAGACTCAAGTAATATTTATTGGCTCGCCTTTAAACAAGCTTGCGATGAGAACTCTGTGAAAATAGAAACACTAATTATGCCAGCAGCAACAGATTCACGCTATCTACGTGCTGTAAGTTAAATATTTTTCTGTTAATACTTACCCAGTGGGCAAAAAAGCATGTTCGTTCCAAAAACGTTTTTAGAATGTTTCATGTCAGACAGAAAATGTTCTAGAATATTATTTGATAGAATATTTTCTTAAAATGTATTAGAACATTATTTGTCGGACATAAAACGTTCATAAAACGTTTCTAGAACGAACATGTACTGTAAAATGAAAGGTATTAATTTAATACCGGCTTTAGGTTCTAAATTGTCATTTGGTTCTATTTTGATACCTGAAATAGATACTGTTTTAGTACTTTTTTACAGTGTGGTTTTTTGCCCACTGGATATTAAGTAAATAAAAACTTATCTATATGTTTTATAACACACTTGCCTACTAACGTTACCGTACATAATTATTTATTTCATACTATATTTTGATAATTTCACTTAAAAATTAATAGTTTTATGAAATTTTTCAGCTTGGCATACCAGCTTTAGGATTTACACCATTAAGCAATACTACAGTAACAGCTCACGCTCATGATGAATATATCAATAAGAATGAATTTTTTAAGGGAATTAAAATACTTGAACAAATTTTATTAAAAGTTGCGAATGTTTAATTGTTCCTGTGATTCGTTAGAATAGAAAAATTAATATTTTCTCTATAAATTATTTTTATAGTCTATAAAAATTAAAATTATAATAAGTTTACTCAGGTATGAACCTTGTAAACGCCAATACAATCATAAAATTAAGTGGTTCTTCGTCGATCGTAATACTAAATTTATATGGGCATGTTTTTTTTTTGGTTTTACTATTTGTAATAAACGAAACTTGATATTGCTAAATTTAAGAAATTAAGTGAGATGTGAATTAGTTGTAAAAACCTTTAAACTGTTATATATTTTTAAAAATAAATAAAAATTCAGTTAATGTTTCAAATGATTTTGAAGAAATTGATAATTCCTCGACATTTGATGACCCCATGTAATTGCTCAATTACAATACATCAGAAGATATCAACAGTATAGAGAAACCATTATATAATAGAAAACGTCATGGCTATTTGACAGGCGACAGCAGGCCATTTATCAAAACCAAACCAAACCCATTTCGATTCACTTAGTAATCGTCTATTACTTCGTCTTTTACCTTCAATAAAGTTCAATTATTTTTTAACGAAACTTAAATTACATTATAAAAAATCATTTTTGTATAAACAAAGCCTTCAAATAACCTTAACTGACCACCCATTTTTTTACCCACTTAATTTAACACGAAAACTGTTAAATTGAAATTTTTCAAATTTCACCGTCCGACACGATTTTTCACACACGAAAAAATCAATGATTTTCAGAAACTAGGACCAAAAAAAAGATACCCGTGTCTGGCCGTTTTGCTAGATCAGGTCATTTTTTGCTTTTAGGGGTAAAAACAACCCTTAAATGAAAGGTGATAGGAAATCTTGTACAAATTAATAATTTTTATGAAACTTGGTATCTCGGGGTTTTCCGGGTCGCTGATTACGAATATGATGTCAGATTTTCAAAATTCAAAATGGCAGATTCAATATGGCGGTCGAAATTTATAAAAGTTCATCGAATTCACTTGAAACTTGTTACTTGAAGGTTTTTGGGGTCGCTGATAACGAATTCGATGTCGGGTTTTCAAAATTCAAAATGGCGGATCGAATATGGTGGTCGAAGTTTATAAATGTTATTAGTTTTTTATAAAACTTCGTATCTTTGGGTTTTTGGGGTCGCTGAGTACGAATCTAATTGTAGATTTTTAAAATTCAATATGGCAGACTCAATATGACGGTTGAAATTCATAAAAATTGTTAATTTTTTATAAAACTTGGTATCTAAGGGCTTTCGGCGTCTCTAAGTACAAAAGTGATGTCAGATAAGAATAATAAAAACGCCAAATCTAATAAAGGTGAAGATCACAAATCTGAAAATTAATTTGGAAAATTTAAATGTTCGATCAATTTTTTGTTAAAATTTGCAAGCCAACATTTTAAAATTTTTATTTTAATTGATTTTTAATCTGAAAATTTGTATATTTATTAACTAAGTTTCTATTAGAATTAATAAATTCAAAAGGTTATAATCAAAATTTATTAAACAAATATAATGCAATAAAATAAAATTAATAGAAACATTTCATAACAACTCTTGTATTACGTTTGTGTAAATTTTAGACGCTTATTTTTACGATTTAAAGATTCGACCACCATATTGGATTCGCCATTTTGAATTTTCAATTCTGACATCATATTCGTAATCAGGGACCCCAAAAACCCCTAAGTAACAACTTTCAAATGAATTGGTGAATTTTTATAAATTTCGACCGCCATATTGGATCCGCCATTTTGAATTTTGAAAATCAGACATCAGATTCGTAATCAGCGACCCGGAAAACCCCGAGATACCAAGTTTCATAAAAATTATTAATTTGTACAAGATTTCCTATCACCTTTCATTTAAGGGTTGTTTTTACCCCTAAAAGCAAAAAATGACCTGATCTAGCAAAACGGCCAGACACGGGTATCTTTTTTTTGGTCCTAGTTTCTGAAAATCATTGATTTTTTCGTGTGTGAAAAAAAAGTTGAATTTTGTCGGACGGTGTTTTGAGTGAAAAAAATTTGAATTTTATTAAAGGTGAAAAACGAAGACATTAACTCTCAGAAGAGTGTTGGCATGCAAAGGCTATGATGTGTTTTCAAAAAAGATGATGTGCGTATGAAAAAATGCTTACACCTCATTTATGGTAGGGTAGAGGGCTCCAAGGTGGCCACCTTTTGTTGAACGATTGAAGAGTGTGCAGTATAATATTTATTAACATTTATGATTGCTTGCGTGACTTTTATCAATTTTAAAAATTTAGAATGGCTTCGTATAAGTCAATAACCATTTGGATTCTTCAATCGTTAAAAAAAGGGAGGTCACCTTTTGGAGCCTTCTTCCTTTTATAAATTTATTAAAATGCAATTTCCAGAGTATATTTCAGGAGGCACTTTGCAAGGAATATTTCTACATGGGATGATTTCAAAATTTGTAAAAATACTTTTATTTTTCTGAACGTTATTGCCCCCACAGCACCGAAACTTTCCTAAAGAATTATTTGAAATGTTCGGAATATTTAATTGCAATGTTTAGTGAAAATTGTGTAAAGATTTAAATGTCCCACTTGAATAAATGTTTAGCGCGAAACTTTCCTGAACGTTTATTTAATCAGGACATTTAAATCTTTACACAATTTTCACTAAACATTGCAATTAAATATTCCGAACATTTCAAACAAATCTTTAGGAAATCTTTAGGAAAGTTTCGGTGCTGTGGGGGTGATGACCAAGGAAACAGTGTGACTCGCAATATTCCTCTACTTATTAAAAGTATGTATTAAAATGTGTAAAAAAATATAAAACTATTAAACATAAAATTATTTTATTTCATAAAAATAAACGAATAGTACAAATTTTGAAACTTAAGAAAAAAATATTTCAAAAAATAAATATATGTATCAATTATTCACAAAGTAGTATAAGGAGATATAGCACTGTACATTATAGAATTGTTTCACTTTTTGATGAAACTCAAAAAATACAAAAAATAAATCATTTAGTCGTTGAATACCGTTGTATATTATTAATAGTTATACTTCTGTAGAATGGGGAAATGATTGAAATATTTTTTTTTTTTTGAGTTTTATTAAAAAGAATAATTAAAATTTAATAAAATTTTTTTTTTAGATAGTTTGAAAAAATAATATACCATGTTTACTGTAAAAGGTACCACTTAAAAAAGTAATTGAATAATTTTTTGATCGCTAGATACACTTTTCATTAAAATTGAAAAATTACATTCAGAATGAGTGAAATATTACATCAGTCGTTCCGAGCTAATATCCTATTTCAAAGACTAATATTTAGTAATTTATAACCTAATTTATTCTTTTTAAGCTAGCTACTTTTAAAAATTTTATTAAAAACAAAAACACTTACTCTTTACATACGAAAAAAATAATTATCTCAAAAATTGTCTTCATCCTCAAGAAATACAACTGTTATCAATAAACGATGATAACTTTGATAGATATTGAACCACTTGTCGTAGTGGAAATTTCCACTACACTTTTAGATTCCTTATACTACTTCGTGCATTTACCTTCGAAAATATTCAAACTAAACCGATACATATTACAAATAGCATACAATCAATTTATATAATTATTATTTTTATAATAAATTTTACAAAAAAATTCTTTTAAATATTCTAAGAAATCTAAAGTAGAAAAAAAATTAATAAATTGTTACATATTAAATAAACGCAATACTGGTCGTAGGCAATGATTTACTTCGCTTCGGAAAAATAATTTTATTAAGACGTACAAAGGCATTAAATAAGTTTAAACATGTCAAAATTTATGAGGTACGTGCGACACATAAAAGAAGTTAATTGCATGTACTCTTTTAAACGTACACATATTTGAAATTACTCTGACTCTGCACTATATAATTTTATATATAAATTTATAAACTTAATTTCTAATATTTTTGTAACAAAAAGTTTGCAGATTTCATTAAAATATTGTATTATATTTTATATAATATAATAACAGAGTTCTGCAAACGATAAGATTAATTTTTTTAAAAAAAAAAAAGAAACTTGAATAAATTTTTCATTAAAGTCGAGACATATTTGTGCGCAGCACAATCATAAACTTTTTCCCATTTGCAAATAATCAATTTGTACAGGTTACAGTAGACGCGAGATTATAAATCGTAATCCCTTGACAAGAATTGCAATTTTAAATATCAAATTTGAAAGAGATAATAATAAGTCTCGAGAGGCAATTCTTGTAATGGGAATTAAAAAATCTCTCGATGCCAAAATATTTCGTCGTTGATTTTACATTTTTTTTTTGTCTTGGATGGAGTATCACTTTTCGGCGGTATACAGGTACATCTTTTACAAAAATTCCAAGGCACAGAAATATTATTCTAGTAGAGATAGAAATTTTTTTTCAACTTATAAATCAAACACTTTTAATGACAATTCTATTGTCTTTCAAAATATAAATTTTTAATATGAGAAGTGAATTGAAATAGACGGATTAGCCTGTTAAGAATTTCTTAATTGAAATTTAGAACTTATTTGTGGCTTTCTTAAACTCTATATGCTCTGCGTTCATCATTGCGTATTGCATTGGCCAAACACAATGAGAAAATGATTCCAAGCAACTGAAAAAAAAAGAAATTTTTATAAAAGAAGATACTGAGTACTTTTTAAAGAAGCTAAAGGCATTAAAAATAAATTTTACTATGACGCCGTTTTCATTGTGTGGGTTAAATTTTATCTCCGCACAGATTAAAGGAACAGGATAAATTTGCGCCTGCGCAGAACATTCGTAAATCTTCGTACTCATGTGTACGAAGATTTACGAATGTTCTGCGCAAACGCAAATCTATCTTGTTCCTTTAATCTGCGCAGAGATAAAATTTAACCCACACGGTGAAAACCGACTCTATGTATAATAATTTACTGTTTGAAAAAATTGAAATCGATTATTTTATTACTAATAATTAGAATAAAATGTAAAAAAAAACATTAAATTTTACCTCCACAATTGCTACACCAACAGCAACACCTCCTAGAGTTTTCAATGCCGTTTTAAATAGATCTGAAATCTTTGTACCACAACCTTCTCTGTAAATATTGTTAGAACCAGTACATGTAGCACTAGGTGCATTTCCACAACAAGTTCCAGGAATTGGACCAAGACCGGAGTAATCAGATGAGCTTCTGATACCACAGCAATTGAGCTAAAATTAAAATTCACATATTATTTAGAATCTAGTATAAAAAAGAATAAGCAATTATCATTGAAATACTCACTGAAGATTGTATAGCATCTACAATATCCTTGGCTTCAGTTTCCTTATAGTATTTATCAAAGATTTGTGTCTTAAATGCTGATTCAATTTTCGTTTCATCTACTTTTTGTATGTAAACATAAACGGCAATAGCCACTTGAATCACGAGAATAGTAAGTAAAAATACTGCAAACTGTAAAAAAAAATACAATTTAATCTATAATAAAAATTATTATAACCTATCATGATAAAAGAGAAATAAATCCTAATCCATAATTACAGTAAATGAATGTTTTCTTTAGAATAAATTACATTCAATATTATTAATATATTAAAGCACTTTTTACAATTTTTTTTCTATACATATAAAAAATAAAATACTTTGAAAATTTTTTATTGACTTTTCGTTTTCGTTTCATTAAGAAATAGTAATATAAAAAAAAGAAGTAGTAATTAAATGAACTCTTACAGTGACGACCATGCAATGACTGTCTCGAATCGCTCCACAGCATCCAAAGAAGGCAATGATAAAGATTATTGCACCGAGTACAATCAAGAATATAGGAACTGAAGGTGGAAAGCCTTCACCCATCGCTGAAGAAACATCGTGGATTTTAATGTAGAAAATTACGCCAACAGTAAGTAACGCCAAACCACAGATCTAAAAATATTAAATTTTCGTTTATATAAATATCTAATATAAAAATCAGAAAAATATTGTTGTAATCAATAGGTATACAAATTTAATTTAAAATAAATCTAGATTTATAATAATATTATCTACGGAGACTTTTTCAGAGAGAATCTTACAGTTATGATTTATCTTAATTTTACACCGAAAAAAATGATGCTATAAAATTAACTATATTTCGTTAATTAGATTTTTTGAGATGTATTAACCAAATTTTAAGTAGTGTGTGAATTAATAATTTTATGAAGTTAAATTTACCAATGTAAATGATTAAAAGTAAATTTGTTGATTTAACTACTGATACTTGGTAAACTTAACTATAGCAACCTACTTAAAAAAAATTACCATGCGTTTGTCAGGTTAGTAAAGCTGGAAGTACCACGTTCAAAAAAAAAAGGTTTTTCTATTTGCCACAATTTAGGGCTAATTTAGTACCACATGCAAAAATTTAGGGTTCTTTAACTATTGTCAAAAACCCTTGATACTGCTAGTTTGACGTTAAACTAGAAATACCATACCGTTAAATATAAATATTTTTAAAAAGTTCTTCCACAGGAATTTAGGACCCTTAAATAGCCCCAAGAAAATGTTCAAAAAACTACCCCTTCAAAAATAAATATGTATTAATATTTTTAAAAATTTCTTTCACAGGAATTGAGGACCCCGATTCTATAAGGAGACCTTTAAGATTTTTTTATAAAACGAATTATTAAAATTAATAGAGGCAAAAAAATAGAAATTTTTTTTACGATAATTTAATGGACTTTTAAAACATAACTCGTCGTAATTTTGCCAAATATTGATGGATTTTTTTCAAATTTGGTGCATTTTATTCAGTTTGTACTATTAAAGACGACAATCATAAAAAAAATCAAGAAAATTGTTATTATTTAATATTAAATAATAATAAAGTTTTAATTTTGAAAATATGTATTTTTCAACCTTCTACTGAAAAAGTTATCGAGGGAATTTTCATTCTAGAAAAACTTCTCGCCACAAAGTTTTTCCTTTCACATTAAAGAAGTTTTTCCAAAAGTTTGGAATTAATTCTATAAAAAATAAAGAAGTTATAAGGAAAATAGTGAAAAACTATTTTTCCTTATACTATGCAGCAGTAGCCATGACACCTCACGGCTTAGTTAATAATTAAAAAAATTAGGATAAATATGGAAATTCGATTAAAGAACAATTATATTAACTTAAAATTCTTTTTTATGAATATTTTGTTAAATATTTTAATAATTTAAAATTGGACGTTACAAAAATTCATTTAAGTTCAATGTGGGAAATATTCATGCATCCCAAATTTAAAAAATAGCATATATATGTTTGTGGGAAGAAACCTGGGGTTTCCTTGACCGTATAAAGTACGTAGAACCAAGAATCTTGAAAGAGTCTAGACAAGATTTGAGTCGCCGAAAAGCAATAAAAAAAACATCTGCAGATGTTATAGAAAATGGGTGTTCAGTGAATCCTAGACCCACGGTTTGCGTGGGATTCGACTTGCATATGCAGGTATATATATATGGGTGAGTCCACGTCATTTCATAATAATATCATCGATTTTCATATTTTTGATCAGACTAATTTTGAAAAAATGTCTTTGTCATCTACAAAAAAAATTTCAACGATTTTTTTTGAATTTCTTTATAAAGTCATTTGCAAGATATCAATTACAACAAATTTCATATTTAAAAAAAAAATTTTTTTTTGGTGCTCATAACATTAGGTACATATTAAAATTTAGAATTTTTTCATATATGGGCGTCTGCATGACATTTGTTGGTTTTATTTTCGGAAATAAACACAATTTTCTAAAAGTGGTTCAGATTTTTGATTTCTTGTCCAAATAATGAAACATCTCAGTATATGATGTCATTTTCCTCTAGAATTTGTGTCAGTAAATCTTACATCTAGACATAAAAAAATAAACCTTGAAATGAAAAAAGTTATGCTTTCTTTGTTTGTAGTTCATAAATGCGATATATAAATTTAAGTACTGAATCTAAAATACTTTTTGAAGAAAATTACTCTTGACCTACATAGAATTATTGTTTTGAGAAATTTTTAGTAAGACATTTAAAGATCTATATCAATTAAACTTAAAGTAAATATTTTAAATTCGATATAGAACATTGCAATGTATTTTTATGTCAATATTAAGAATTAACTGAAATTAATTAATTTTCTCATATAATGTAAAGAAGAACATAATCACAAGAGTGTCATATGTATATTTTATCAATATGACTCACTGCTAATACTTATCAGTATTCAGTTATTTAAAAATATGAAATGCAATTTTTACACATATTGATATTAAAAATATTTTTTTAAAAATATAATATAATTGAATTTTATTCTACAAATATTAATAAAATTTTTTGTATTCGATAAAAAAAAAAATTCAAAACTCGTTTTACATTTTTTAAAAAAAGTTTCTTTTATTGACACTAATAATTTGTTTAAATAAAAAATTGTTATATAAAGAAAAATTAAAAATTCTTTTGAGAAGACACTAAATTGTCGTGGAATTTAGCAATGAAAGAGAATTGTACGTATATATAACTGAATGTTCAAAGAAATGATGTCATTCATCCTGTTTTTTTCTTTTTTTTTTTAAATGAAACGATTTGTTTTGTGTGAAAAAAAGTGAAAAATATTTCATAACTCATATTTCGTTATCAGAATTTTAATGACAATAGCAATCAACTAATTAATAAAAATTTGATTATATTATTGAAAAGATTTTAACTGTTTTGAGTCAGTATAATGAGTCACTGTGTGATATTATTCTAAAAGCAGAATATAGACTTTACTTTTAAACTGAACAATTTCCAGAGCATTAGCTCACGTCATTGAATTAAGCGATTCGCAATAGCAGTAAAAAACTCTATTCTATTTATACATATAATTGTTTAAAAAAAAAATTGTTTAAATATTTTTCGCTATGTATATTATAAGAAAAAAGGAATTAAAATTTCACTGAGAGAATTTAAACTTTTCATATGCAATAACTTTTTCAAAGCTTTATAGAAATGTGAACTCTTATTATTTATAATTTTTGTTTGTATTAAAATTATTATTTATTGTTTCTAATAATTTTCCATAAATATGTTAATTTTTTCTCTAACTATTAGCTTTTGTTATTGAAATGAGAGGAAAAAAGAATTATTTTTGTATTTATTTTGGGCTATTGATAAAATTAAATTTGTATTTTAAATAAAAATTCGGCACGGTTGCACGTTCCATTATTAGATTGTACACTGAGACATAATAAACTTTAAATTGTACCCTATAAACTGAACCCTAAGCAAAATTAATTTTAAATTCTGCATTTTAAATTGAATACCGTCAAATTTTGAAGGTTTTAAATAATTTAACAAAATAAATTAAATTAAAATCTTCAAAATTTGATGGTATTCAATTTAAAATGAAGAATTTAAAATTAATTTTGCTTAGAGTACAGTTTAGAGTGTACAATTTGAAGTTTATTGTGTCTCAGTTTATTATATTTCTGTTTATTTATTTTTTTAAATAATTCAGTCATAATAGTTGATAATAATTGAAGAAATGTAACTTTTGTGAGTAAATAAATACATTGCAATACAGCTTTATAGGAATCTGAAATATCTCTCTACATGTATAGATGTACTTTGGAGCCTTCCTTGACCAAATCGTCAGAACCGGTTTTCGACAGCATCATCCAAAAATATCAGACCTTCCTCTTACAATCAGTTCTAATGTAAAGGAAAGACCGGGGCAAAATCGCGTATTTCAATTTATTCAAAATTTATATAAATCAAAATAATATTGCTTTTCATGCAAATTAATGTATGTACTCTTAAAGTTTGTATAAAATTTCATAAATTCATTTATTATTTTAGAAAATTCTAATTAAATTATTCAATCAAGTGTAATTTTCATTATTTACAGATTTAATAGATATCAAGGACATCTCACTGTAAAGAAATATAACTGTAATATATATTTTTTGCTACAAATTTTTTTATAATTTTATGAATTAAAAATAGAATATGCTTATTTTTATTTTTATAAATAGTAGAAACTTTAATTTACAAATTTGAACTTTTAAATAACATAATTTTATTTATTATATTTATTTCAATTTATAGGGTCAGTTGGGGTAAATGGGGACAAAATCGCTATTTTTCACAAATTACGTAAGTTTCTTCCTTTAAAAGGTACTATTTGCGGGTTTATTTTTTTTTAAGTTGTTATTTACATTCCTAGGATTAATTTTATGCAGCAGAAAAAAATTTAGATAAGCTTTAAACGCATGAAACTGACTATCCCCATTTACCCCAAAATTTATAAAATTTCATAAAATTCGGGGTAAATGGGGACAGCATAGTTTCTAAGAAAATTTTAAGCACTTAATTTTAAAACTGTAAATTAAGCTCCAAAACCTCTTGTCCCCATTTACCCCAATTGACCCTAATATTATTTTTTACAAAAATAAAATTTTACCCCAGCTCAGAGTGTATTGACTACTAAAAATTATTTATTTTTGAAATTTACCGATTTTAAATTAAACTAATTTCATTAATTACATTCTATAATTATTATAAGTACAATCTAGAATAATTTGCGACAGAAAAATGATTTAAAATCCAATTATCAAAAATTAAAAATTTCCAAAATGAAGATAAATTGTAGAATTTTTGTTACTTGAATCTTATTTAGTGTGAATTTCTGAATTTTTTTTTATAAGGAAAAAACTTTTATATTTATTTTATTTTAAAATTCAGAAAAACAAATTTCAAAAAAAAAATGTGTAAAATAATCTCAAGGCGAAAGTTGTACATTATTCCAGCATTGTCTCTCGCTAAATGTTTGTTTAAATAGGAGGTAAAACCTTGTACTTCTGAGTCATGATTTCTTATTATGATTAACTTGGCAATGATTCCTTAGTATCGGATGAGGTAACATTTTTAAAAAATAATCAA